TATATATATATATTAAGTGAAAATTTAGTAGAATCAGAACTTAAGCTCATAACTCATTTCTAATGAGAATTTTTAATTGTATTCTTAAATATAAGAACTAATACTTATAACTTTTACAATTAATCGAAACATGTTGACATGGATGGTATAATGTATTCTTGAACTCTTAGAGCATCTCTAATAGTGAAATTTATTTTGGATTCTCATTTTATTTATTTTTTTAGTGTCTTAAAGCTAATTAGAATTTAAATTTTTTCTTATTTTTGCTCCAACAGAAAAACATACTTCTTAATTTACTTTATGAAGCCACATTTTTTACTTTTTTTTTTTTTTTAGGTTCGTTCATGGAGTATCCACTCCCGACAGCAGTGACTAATCTCCTCGCTACATTGGAGACACCTCAAAAGGTGGGATAGCTGGCCCCAAGATTTAACGCGGCTGCATACACAAGGCAAGATTCGAACTCCTGACCTTACTTAAGCGTGGATCAACCCCTACCGCTGAACCACACGCTTGGGTTTTTTTTTTAACTTTTATTTAAGTGAGAATCAATAAAACATAATATATAAAAACGGTTCTTAAGGATTCTTATATAAAAATTATTCTTACACCATGTCATTCAAGTCAGCATACTTCAACAGTAAATTTTACAATAACCAGTTCTTATACTTAATAAAAATGCAGTTACAAACCTTTATTAAAAATAGTTAGATAGAATAGTATAATTGAAAAAAAAAAACTAATTAATATTATCTTAAAGTTTAAAAATGATAAATAAATAGAAAGAAAACTCATCTTACAAACGACTATATAAAAAAGAAATGGAAAGTATCAATTATTTAGTCAATAAATATTTTATAAAATATTTAATTTTGCTATTGACTAGTAAAATATTAAAATCTTAGCAAATTTATTAATTTTTAATAATTAATGATTATAACAGTATCACAACTAAATTATATATATATATATATATATATATATATATATTTTTTTTTTTTTTTTTTTTTTTTTTTTTATCGTATTTTTTATATATATTCATTTTGATCCTATATCTTTCAAAATGTTCATTTTAGTCTCTTATCTTTTAAATTTCGTCCATTTTGATCTGCAACAATTAATGATTGTTTTAAATTTTGAGATACAATTTTGAATCCTTTTTTAACGATGTAAGATATGAAACATGTTTCATTAGATTTGTCTATATGAAAGTTAAAAAATTCAATTAGTGTTCAAACAAAAAATTACTCCCTTCATCCCACAATGATTGCATTTTAAAATTTCTACACACAAGTTAATTGTGGATGTTGAATAATTTATAAAGGGAATAAATTAGGAAAAGATGATCAATATTACATAAAAGAGAGAACATCATTCTTTTTTGAATATATTTCAAATGTTAAAAGTACACTCATTATGAGACAAAGAGCGTATAAACAGAGAAAATCAAATGAAAATTTTTTTTTCAAGCAACAAAAAACAAATTAAAAAAAATTAATTTTTTGGTTGATTGTTGAAATCATTTTCACACAAATTTTTTATATTATTTTAATGAATTTACTAGATTTACACACTCTTTGGACTCAATATTTTTTATATAAATAAATTTAATACAATAAATTTAATGAATCGATGAAATTTTTTTAATCATATCTTAATTAAAAGTGATCACTATTTTCGGAAAGACTAAATTGATTCACTTTAATTTCAAAAGATAAAATATAAAATAAATATCCTAAAATATAAAAAATTAAAATAAATTTTAAAAATAAAATAAAAAACTAAAGTATAATTGAATCACAAAAGCTCAAACGGACATTTAATGAGGTCAACTAGATTTATCTTTTAATTAATAACTAGTGTAATGACCGGTGTCTTGTATGGGTATTAAATTTATATTTTTGAAATTTTTATAATATTGTATTCTTTAATATATTTATAAATTAATTTTAATTTTACAAAAACATAAGTAAATATGAATATGAATATTTATATATGTAAGTATATTTTTAAATTAAATTGATAAAATACAAGTTTTTATACACTTAAGCGAAAATTTAATCCTAAATATTGATATATTTTCACGCAAATGTATAAAAACATGTATTTTTTTATGAATTTTACTTTACAAATATACTTATATATATGTATATATCAAGAAATTAAAATTTTAATATTAAAATATAAATATTAAAATCGTGATATTGAACTATTAAATTAAAATCATAAATATCTAACAATCGTATGTTGATGATAATATTTTGCATTTCTTAAAATAAAAATAAATGTTATGCTTTGATGTTCGAAATTTAATTATTTATTAAAGGACAAATTGATATTTTTTCAATTGTAAACATCACCAATTGTAATCACAATCATTTTAAATAAATTTTATTTCTCTAAATTTTTTGTATATTTTAAAAATTAAAAATTGAGTGTGAAGTCACATTAGCTATTTTCGCGTTCCATGCATAGGGGCTGCATAATTTGATTTGATTTGAATTTAAGTAATAAGCAGTCAGTGTATTAAAAATACTAAAATAAGAAACAACATTTTATTTAAGATGAAATTCAATAAAAAAAAATAAAATGAAACCATGGACAAACGAAAAAGACTTCAATTTATTAATAAAATTTGGATAAAATATGAAGGTTGGTCGTCTTAAACAGTTTGACAGCGAAAGATACAAGCACATTGATTAGCTGAACCGACTTCAACGCAGGTTGCAGAAACAAAGTTGAGTCTGTAAATCTCTTTGCAACGCTTTTCACACACATTGAAGACACAGTCTTTTGGTTGCACCGTTTGATGGCATAGAGTCTGTGCATCCACTTCACTTCTCATTGAAACAACTAAAATAATCACAATTCCAAAGTTAATTACCAAAACCCAAATACTTTTAAAGTTCTGTAAACACATGCATAGAAATTGTGTATAACAAAAGTTATTGAATAAGTAGATATTGAGAATTTGTAAACCTGAAATAATAAGGAATAATGCAAAATATTCTGTGAAAGATATCTTTGCCATCTCCAGTAATAACTAAAACCTGTTTGTTTTATCGGAAAAGAAAACAGAAGAAGCAAAGGATTTGAATGAAGATTGAAGAGTGAGAGAATAATTTCATCTATATGTCAGCAACAGTACATTTATAACATTTTAAATTGATGTACTCAGAATTAATATTTGCGGTCAAACTGTAAAAGTATTTGACATTTATATATAGAATTGGATCTGTATAAAAAGAGAATCTAAGACCACATTTATTTCATGAGACCAATTTTTCTTTTTAAAATTAATGTACTTAGAATTAATATATATTTATTTAATATTATTTATTTATAAGTTTTAATATTTTAGAAAATGGAAAAGATAACTATGGTTAAAATATTTTTATTCAAGGGTTAAGCGTGAGTTTAGTTTTTAAAATTCATTACAAGAAATGTTACATATAGTGACATATAAAAAATGTCATTATAGGTACAATATATGTATGTATATGTCTATTTGACACATAGTTACATACAACTTTAGTGTTAATTTTGAATGAGATTTAACAACATATTTTGTGTCACTATAGTCTATACCCACACTTTTTAATAATATATTAACATATATTGTAGTTATTGTATAGGTAAAAGTAATTTTTAGTGATATGTATAGTGTCACTATAGGGTGTGTATCACTATATGACAATTTTGAATAATTCTTTTATTTTTATGCTTCTCATTTTTCATATTACACATATGCTCTAAAGAACAAAAGGAGAATCAGAACTTGTAGGAGAATATCTCAGAGATCCACATCCATCATCAAGTGTTCATCATTGAGGTATGGGAGAGTGAGTAATCTCACTCTAGGCGTGGGATAATTGTTGAGTAGTAAGATTGACTCGCAATCTCTTTTTTGTTGTATGCATTGTATGAAGGAAAAACCTAATTTGTATCTATTCCTTAAAATTTTCTTCTATATGATTCTTCATTGCTCTAATCGATGATATTTATGTTTAATTATGTGTATTGAATTAATTTTGTGGATCTTGGATTGCCCGTGGGTTCCTATGGGAACCTTAAGAGAATGCATTTTTTGTGATTGTATAAAAAGTTGAATGAGTATATAATTATGTGCTTGAGAATCTGTTTGTAGTTATCATAACCGTTGTTTATAGAGCAAATGGAAGATTGATGTTAATTGCTTTAATATATAAAATTGAGGTTAGATTTGAGTAATTGTGGGTATAATATAGTAATATTAGGCTTTAATATATGCTTTTACATATTAGATTGAGATAAGAGAGTTCGACTATGAGTGGTGCCTTATTCTAAAAACTCTAGTATGAATATACTTTCGTATTTATGTGATTTCTTTGTATGTGATTAATAAAATTGAGTTTTGATTGTTGGGTTAGAAAGTATAAATTTGAGGCTATAGTTTAGACTCAAGAATCACATAAAAATGTTAAGGAATGATCGAGTTTTGTGAGTTAAAAGATGAATCTTATATTCGGTGCGTGAAATCTAACATGCATATGTTGTAAGCCCTTAGAGTATACTTAAATGGTAGAACTAGGTTTCATAATCTTCGTAAAAGTTGTATCCCTGAATATTAGTTTTAAAATGCTGTTGGAATTACCTAAAAAGGGGGTCTAAAATTCAAGTTATGATCAAATTAGTGAATAAAGGCCAAACTATTAGATTTAGGCTGAAACATTGTGATTTTGTATTTGTTTTAAAAAATAGATGGCATAAATAGCTCTTAAGGTGAACATAGAAGTTGGAGATATGTATTATATTTATATTAAAATAAAGAACAACTTGATAACATATATATAGATCTAGATAACGTGTTTGGATCACTCGATGTCTTAGAAGATTAAGTTGTGGAAATGTAGGTTGTGAATGGTGATTATGAATAACTTGACCCTTTAAGTGTAAATGGTTTGGGGTACCTATATCAATGTCTAAAAAAGATAGATCCTAGGAGAAATTAATTGTTAATAATTTATGATGTAAGTTGATTGTTAACGACTTGAAGTGTTTTGATGATAGCAATATCTAAGAATTAATGTGTGATATTGATAAGGTTGCTAGACTAGTTAAGCTAATGATTTAAATACTTAGTGGCATTGATCTTTTAGTGACTAAGGTTTTAACGTATGATTAGACGATCTCATAATGATTTTATATTGAGGTGTATCGGTTGATATTGTGTAATCATTGTACTACTTAATGTTGATAACTGGTTGTTATGTGTAAGTATGTTATTGATATGATATATTGCGAGCTTTGTATGAATTGATTGATGTGCTTTGACATTAATACAATTGATCTTTATGGATCCTATGAGGGTCATATGATGAGAAGTCTAAGCGAGGCTTAACCATGATATGATATGATAAGATGTGTGATGTGTTATGATATGAGATCATGTGAAATGTTATGCATAGAGTCTGTTTGACATACATCATATGCATAAAAGTATTTTTATGGGTACGATATGGAATGCACTGCTAGGGAAGGCCCCCTTGTATAAAATTTTGGGGATCAATCCTTAGGGATAGCTTTGTGTTTGGCTGCCTGGATACATCTTACGTCGTTAGTGAAAGTAAGATATTTCTCATTCCCCTTGTTGTAGGTGATCTTCAACATGATGTTGGTGACGAGACTTAGTCTTCATAGAATGTTATGCTATGATAGAATGTATTGAGACTTAGTTAGGATTTATCTTCTTTTTCTTTTTGTCATGTTTTGAGATAATTGTTAGTTTTCTTGTAATAGATTTCATTGGGATTTCGGTTGATTTTATTTTGTTAAAATTTTGATACCTTCTATGTTGATCATTTTGGAATTTATTTATGAAAAATTTTTCTATTCAATTTTATTTATTTGTGTATTATGATATATGGGATAGAGGATATCACAATTAAGATATGTATATAACCCAAGTATCTATAGCTTATCAACTTAACAACTTTATCATCTTTTAACATTCAACTTATCAACTTTAAGAACATACAACTTAAATAATGTAAAACATCTTACAACTTTTACAACATGAGCAACATCATGAAACAACCTCAATAATCAACTTAGGCAACTTAAAATAGCACACAACTTCACATAATATTCTACATACTACATCAGCATAAATTAGCTACCAAACAACTTAACAATCAACTTTACATTATACAACTCAATCACCATGAATCAACTATAAAACAACATTCAATAAAAACTTCTCATCAAGCAACTCGCGCTCAACATCACTCATTGAGCACCTAGCATCACTCAGGCAATGAACTCCCTGTCTCGCCCATACTTGGCAACTCACAATTCGCAACCGACATGATTGGGTAGAGAGTAGCCATCAATGTTGCGCTTGGCATGGAAACATCCACACCCGACCCTATTTAGGCAAATAGCTCTCTACCAGACTCGTGCCTAGTGCCGCACACTCTAGCGCTCAACATGAACCTAAGAAGAGATGGTCTCTCTCCTCACGCCCGTCGTCATTCAACCCACGCTCGACGAGACTCCAACCCAAGACGAGTCTTTCTCCTTATGTCTAGAGCCACCAATCCTAAGCTCAACATGATTGAGATAGAGACCTTTCTTTTGAAGGCTCATTCGGCACCATGAAGGCTCGCCTAGTGCTATTAAGGTGCATCCGACGCGATATCAAAATTTGCAGTTGTGTAAAACTTGATTTCACCCAATTTCTTGAAAATCAACAAATTCTCACAACATGCAACATAATAAACAACATTTATATAACATGTACAACATAATTTCATTATCAAAAACAACATGCAACAATTATCAAGAATTGTTGGGAAAGATAACCAAAATAATAATAGTTAAGCGATAGCAAAATTGAATCTCCTTTTTCCCTGTATAAATAATAATAGGCTCTAGAAGCAACAAGATAATTTCAGCCAGATGCACAAAATAGAAAAATAGAAATCAACAGGTATCAAATTTTTAACGTGGAAAAACCCTCAATGTGGGGTAAAAACCCACACTACTAAAAAAATTAAAATTTGTGACGAAAATTTGTGAATCATGGAAAGTTGTGGGCAAATGTGACTGCAATTGTTGTGGTTATGTGGTGGCCGAGAGTTGGTGAGTGGTTGGGAAGTGCAATTTAAAACTATATAATGAGTTTAACTAAATGGGTGACTGTGCTAGTCCATTTAAGCTTATTAATAGAAAAGATGTATAAATAAACAACTTTTAAAGTTAACCTTATTATTAATACTAAATTAGCTCTAATGACACTTATGTTGAGACTTTTTTTTTCTTATTACACGACACTTATTATAGGATGGAAAAAATATAATATTTAATTAATTTTAACAAGCTTTCAAATTGCAGTTGCATTACAATTACTTGAATCATGGAAAGTTGTGGGCAAATGTGACTGCAATTGTTGTGGTTATGTGGTGGCCGAGAGTTGGTGAGTGGTTGGGAAGTGCAATTTAAAACTATATAATGAGTTTAACTAAATGGGTGACTGTGCTAGTCCATGGAGGATTTAAAAAATCCAACACTGATTGCTTAGTAACATTGGTGTTAAAATGTTTATATTTTCTATGTATAGTCACTAAGCAAAATAGAATTTAACTTTGAGCTTGCTGTAAAACAATATTATAGATATTGAACTTCTTCCCTAAATATGAAAAAACTCCTTCCTTACAAAACGTCCCCTTAAGATAATGCCAAAGTGTAAAATACAAATAATGAATTATGAAGAAGGCAAAATCATTTAGAGAGGAGATATAAGGATCAGGTAGAATCTCTGCTTGAAATTGAATAAGAAAAGAAGAAAAATGAAAATTTATTTTTAAGAGTAATTAAACTACAGGGAAAAAATTATCAACTCTATAGCTGCAATACTAAGACAGAAAATGATGAATAACTGCATGCAAGTTAACTTTATTATGTATCAATATATAATATATAATAGAATCATGATTGATCCATATGGTGGCAGTTCATTGAAAGCTGAATAAGTCACAGGGTTTTCAACGGGAATAAGCTATTTAATGATTTAGAAAGTTGTTTGGGCATGATTGAAATACATATTTATACTAATTATAAAAACTGCAATTGTCTT